AGCATAAGTCTCTAAGGAATTTGGAAGCAAGTTTTTCAGGACCTGAGGGAGCTAGCTAATTATTGGGAAAACGTCATTTATTACCGTCTAATAAAACCTTAGTCATGAGACCTTTCAGATGTATATCGCGGGCCATATGCCTGGGGGGTGATTGCCAACACTATCTTGGGGGGTTTAGAGATAAGGAAATTTTTAAAGGAATTTTTATATGTTAAAGTAGACTTACAGGATTCTAGGGAGGGGTTGGGCTAGGATTGCCTTTTACCCTTAGCAAAGTCAGAATGTCACTCTGCCTGTTTCAAGGACTTATCAATGGGCTATAAGGTAGTAAGGAAATTTAATAATTTTTCTTCTGCCTTTGTTTCCCACATCAGTTCCTGTGACTCACCAATGAGCTAACTCAGGTTAGTCTGGTTACAATACCAATCTAGGGGTTATAGAGAATTTACTGGTATCTTTTCAGAATAAAAAAATGAGAGGTTTCTTGCTTTACTAAACCCTTTACATCTACAAAATGGACTCTTCTCTACGTATTTTTTTTTAAAGATTTTATTTATTTGTCGGGGGTGTTGTATAATCAGGGGGAGCGGCAGGCAGAGGGAGAAGCAGGCTTTCTGCTGAGCAGGGAACCCAACATGGGGCTCCATCCCAGGACCCTAGGATCATGATCCAAGCCGAATGCAGATGCTCAACTGACAGAGCCACCCAGGCACCCCTCCCTTTTTTTTTTTTTTTAGAATTATTTATTTAAGAGAGAGAGGGAAAGAGAGCATGCATGAGCAGGGTTGGGGTGGGGGTGGGCAGGCAAAGAGAGAGGGAGAGAAAACCCTAAGCAGACTCACATGATGCTGTGATCACAACCTGAGCTGACACCACGAGTCAGACGCCCAACAGACTGCACCACCCAGGTGCCCCTCCTGCCTCTATTCTCGCTAGGACCTGCACCCCGCCTCACACATGCCTTACTGTACTTCCTCCTTGTAAAGGTCAAGGAGTTAATGATTACTTTGGAGACTTCCAGCACAATAGAAAGCATCTAAGGTGACTGGGTGAGGTCATCATGAAAGTTTTCCAAGACCACTGTCTCCTTACACCTTGATGCCAAGACCCCTAGCTCCAGGGCATAAGTGACTTATGGAGGACGCTTGAGCACTCCTCCTGGTTTTGCCCAGGGCCTGGTATGGCTGGGAGGATACATACAGCAGACCACCATCCTTAATTAAACAACAACAACAACAAAAAAAAAGACCCCGATCAAAGACAAGACTCTCTCTCTTTTCAAGAGTCTCCCAGAAATTCTACTTCTATCTTCTCTCTATATATATCTTCAATAAACTCTGCTCACAATTCCTCTCGGCTCGTGTTTGATTTCCATTCTGCAGGAAGCCCAGGATCCTCCTGGCTGGTCCTGTGGGAATCCCTCTGGGTTCTCAGACTCAGCCAGCCTGCATCATCATTACCTTTTACTGTAGTTCCAGAAATTTTGGGGTAAAAATTAGCTAGCACATAAATGTAGGTTGGTAGTCCTACCACCTGCCTTCAGCCACTGCTGTGTACCTGATTGTTGTCTGGTATTAATATTGACCAGCTCATAAACACATAACACCTATACATGGTAAGTAACTGGAGCAGACTCCAATTAATTTTTTTTTTTAAGATTTTATTTCTTTATTTGACTGAGAGAGAGAGCACAAGCAGGGGGAGTGGCAGGTAGAGGAACAGGGAGGGGCAGGGAGCCCAACATAGGGTTCTATCCCAGGACTCCAGGATCGTGACCTGAGCCGAAGGCAGACACTTAACCGACTGAGCCACCTAGGCGCCCCTTAATTTTTTTCCCCAACTTTTCAGGTTTAATCCCAGGAAAAAAAGGTATCTAAAATGGGGCCTTTTGGTGGAGTTGTTTTTTTTTTTTTCTTTTGGACAAAAGTAAAATAGGCATTATAGCAGATTATATTTTCCTTAAATGACTATAATATCTCTCATTCCACATGCTCTCCTTACAATATAACTGCCACTTTGACCATTTAGAAGTATAGTCTATGTACTTTCCCCACAAATGTGGTGTTTTTTGGGACTGCTTCAACAAATAGTTGAACTGATCCTATGTGACTTCTGAGATTAGGCCACAGAAGTCAATATAACTGCTCCACTCCAACTATCCCCATGTTGACGTCAAACTTCCTAAACAGGTTCTCCTTTCTAGCTTATCTCTTCACTCAGGCAAAGGACCCTATGGGCAGAGCATCCCCTGACAGAAACTGAAACTACCTCCTCAAGCAATAAGGACTGCCCTGAGCCAGCATGACCCTGCCGGTGATTGATTTCAAGACAGTGATTGACCTGACCCTCACTGCCCACCTGCGCATACCTAGTGTTGGCCTCACTGAAATAAATTCCTTTCTTGGTTCACCACCACTCATTTCTCTGCCTTAGGATTTGGTGAGTGGCGAGTGGGCGAACCTTGTTTGTTTGGGAGCCCTGGAGCCAGGTGCTTTTGTACCCCTGTGCCCCAGCTACACCTTGTCCTCTTGGAAATTTCTTGGAGTGCTCACTTTTGGAAGATAGCTGTCAGGCAGTGAGGAAGCCTCCACATGGAGGGCCACCTATAGGTATTCCAGCTCACAGTCCTAGCTGAAGTCCAGCATCAACTGACAGACACGTGAATGAACAAGCCTTTAGATTCCATACCCTGGCCTTGATTGTGAGCTGCCCCAGCTTATGTCATGTGGTGCAGATAAGCTGTGCCATTGAGCCTTGACCAAATTGCATATCTGTGAGCAAACTAAATGATTGTTGTTTTTTAGTCTACTAAGTTTGCAATGACCAGACAAGTATAAATAACACTACCATAGACACTTAACATATATTTAAATCCTATCCAATCTCTTATATCAATCAAATTATCCTGTACTTGGTGAAAACAAGTAAGGGACAGGCGGAGCTAGGTAGGGAAAGATATAAGGGGCTCTGGGATCAGGCTCACAGAAATCCCAAAAATGCGGGGATGTAAGGAAACCAGAGATAAGGGAACAAACCAGACCACCCTGCCCTAGGCCTGTATGTGTATCTTTTTTTATGATGGTCACCTGTGACCAACAAAGAATAACCAGACCCTAATAAAAGAAGTAAGCCATTAAAGATATTATCACCAGTCCGGGGCGCCTGGGTGGCTCAGTCATTAAGCGTCTGCCTTCGGCTCAGGTCATGATCCCAGGGTCCTGAGATCGAGCCCCACATCAGGCACCCTGCTCAGC